AGAACATAATAAAATATAGATTTAACTGAAGATTGATATTTTGATTTCTACAAAGTTTCACATTGTTAAAATGCTTGATAAATGTTGTTATTGCTATTATACTATTGATTCCAATATTTTATGTTTCATTAGCAAATTACATTTCATTGCATTGTTACACATGTAATCCTTTTCTTTATTATACACTTTTTATTGTATAGGAGTTTTATATAAGATTACATAAAATCGGATAAGTAGTTAGTTAGTTAAATTTAGTATATTAAAGTAACTTAACTGTTGCATAATGTGAGAGTTTAGTCATTCTTCATTTCAAAATATAACTATTGATATAAAAAATTGTAGATTTCATATTAATACATTTTTGTTATTTCCTAACGTTTAAATTTAAATATTTATTAAATTTTAAAAATAAACATATTCAGATAATATTTTACTAAAGTAACTCACATAAAACGGCGTTAAGGAATATTTTATTTTTCTGTGAGTGCTTTTGATGCTGCTATGAATGTCATCCTCAGGAACAAATACAAATTGAACATTTTTTCTGAACAAATTTTAAAATACAAGCAGGAATGGCATTAACTGAATAGAATATAAAAAACTTTTAGAACAAAAAGTTTTTAAAGGCTTAATTTTAAAAATCACTAATATCTGCCTGCATTTAAAAATCACATAATGTCTGCTTAAATATGCGGAGAAGGTGAAGATGTGGGGATGGTGGAGAAATGCAGTTAATTAGAATTATTTATTTAATAGCTTATATAAGCTGATCCAAATTCCAGGTAATTCGAGGATGGGGAAGTTGCATGGGGACAATAACATGGTGAAAATGGACTTTGAAATGAGCACTAGACCCTTCTCACCACAGTGCCTAAGGAACACAATACGGTCAGTCCCAAAGTGGGGTGTGATGATGCTGTATCACCATCTCGGATAACTCGGTGTCACACCTTCCCACTGCAACAGAATGTTGGTGCTCAGATAAACAACTAGACAGCATTCTGGTGGTAGCCCCTATGTAGAAGGTGTGTGCCCCAGTTGTATTCTCTAATGGGACAGAATACACACCTGACCTTTCCAAGATCGAATTTGTGTCCCTATCATTGTACAAGAGTCTCTATAGACTTGGGCATGGAGCAATGGGTAAAAACAAGGTGTTTTGTCTAAAAATACAACAAATATGTGCTGACAGGTGACCACAAAATGGTAAAGAAGGATGGACTACAGTCCACTCCCTTGGGTTCCACTAGATAGTGGAGGGGAAGAGTGACCTCTTGATCCTGTTTAGGACATGATTGTCCTTGGTGGTGCCATAGCCTCCCCCACCCTCGAATTACCTGGAATTTGGATCAGCTTGTATAAGCTATTAAATAATTCTAATTAACCACGTTTTTCCACTGTCCCCACATCCTCCACCTTCTCTGTGTATTTAAGCACAGGCATGTAGATGTTACGTGATTTTTAAAATTAAGTCTTTGAAAACTTTTTGTTCTAAAAGATTTTATATTCTATCAGTTAATGCTGCTCCTGTTTGTAATTTAAAATTTGGGAAAAAACATTTGATTTGTATTTGTGCCTGAAGACTACATTCATAGCAATGTCAAAAGTGCTCGCAGAGAAATAAAATATTCATTAACGTCATTTTATGTGAGTTTTTCTCCTCATGTATCTAATATTTTACTAAAATATGCAAATTGAATGTAACAATTAGAATATAAAATTATTCATATTCACAAAACTTTTCTTGCTTTATCTATGCAAATTAAGTTTATCCTTATTTTTTTATATATTTTAGAAATTAATTAACTAATAGTGGGGCATGCACATTGTTATCAGACACATAAGTGGCCAGGGTGGTGGTGTTTTTCTTTTTATTGATACCATACTTGTGTTCCTTGAGTTATCAGATTCTCCTATACAACATTTACCAAAAAATTAAAACTAGATAATTCAATAGTTCCATCCTTGATACACCTAAACTTTTCATTTTTGCAAAGACTCATAAACAAGACAACATAATACATCCCATAAGTTGATAAAGCCAAATCGCGTACGCATCTACTGGAAAATGAGGTTCATATCCTGCATAACCTCTTAAAGGAAGTGGGTTAATTTACTCATTCTTTTAAGAATGTCATGTAACTTTACAAATTTATAAATGTGTCTTTATAAATTATCTAGTTATTTATTTCTTCATATATCTGTGATAATTATCCATTTGATGTTTATTTTATGTTAATTTTGCTTTTCACCAGGTTTGTTAAATTTAACATATAATTGTAATTTTGTTTATTTCTGTATTTATTTATTCTATTCCAAATTTTGTAAAACCATGCCATCATAAGAACGTGAGTGAATCTTGATGTTTCAAATTTATGTTCTAATTTATACTCTAACTGACATTCCAATTATGCTTAACCTGAAGAAAACCATTTAAAATAATTGAAAACGTTAGTTCATTTGATTTAATTAAAGAAATTGCTAGAAAAAAAAGAGAGAAAGGTGTTTTGAAACTTATTAAAAGAAATCTGTGGTAAGCATAAACAAACATGTCTGGAATAATTATCACACATTCAAAGAAAGTAAAGTAAGATATAACATATTTCTTTTTATAAAGAGTACAGCACCAGATAATATTCATTGAGTTGTGTGTGAAAATGGTGCTGTGATTTTGAGTCTGGTCAAACAAAATTTTATAACAAAAATGGGACAACATTCAAAACAAAAAACAAATGAGCTCATACCCCATGTTGAAGATGCTATTTGGAATAATCAAAGACTATATTCTAAATATGACTGTATGAAATGGAGAATATACATGTCCGTGAGTGTTGAGGCTTTAAAAAAGTCTGTTTCATTAGAAAATGCCGAAAATAGAAAATTATTTTCCACCCACAATATAGCATGGACTTAATGAGATTGTTTTCTCATAAGATAAAACATCTGCATGAAGTATCCTGGACAGATTAAGATGTTGAATTGATTGATTTGAATTGACAGATTGATGTTACTACCACCAATGGTAATAACATCAAAATCCAGATTTATTTTGCATAGAAATTTGAAGATCTTATTGTTAGATTGAATAAATGTCTTAGCAAGTTTGGAAAAATAAAAACACAAACATTTACTAAGCTACTAAGCTAAAACATTTACTAAGAAATAAGTAGAAAGATTTAATATCTGATACACCAACATATAAATATATTTATAAATAGATAGATGAATGTTACATAAATGTAACATGTATATAAGGAGTAAATCTGAGAGATGTGTTAACTTTTAAAATTACATATGTATTTTTCTGTGATTTTACTTTTCAAGAACTATACATTGTGACATAATACAAATGTATATATAATTCGAATTGGTTTTTTTTTCTCACAGTTTCATAAAGACTAGATGACTCAAGACTTTATTGTAACATATTTTAAAACAGATTATACATCATATGCATTTCTGGCTATTGTGACTTTATAGCTCCTCTTCAGTCCTATTGAAAACAAGGTTATGATTATATGACATAGTTGTAACTATTTTTATAAAGATTTTTACAATATGATTTGTATATTCACTTACCTGTATTAGAAAAAGAAAGAACAATTTGAAACTCCATTACATATTCAATGTTTTCTGTATAAATACAATTATAAAACCTTAAAAAATTTTTAGAAATGGGTTAAAAAAACAACCATTACATCTATAATACACATCAAAAATATAAAAATACTCCATATAATCTTCAAATACAATAAATGATAAATCTTACTTTATACTTATTGCACCAGTTTAAGTTACTGTAATTTTAGCTTTTATACACAGGCTGCAAAGGTAATGGCGACTACAAATTGGCTTGCTCGCATGGTTGAAATACTGTATAAGTGTGATATAATTGTATAATACAATTTTAATTATATTGGTAAAAAAAGTAGAACACACAATATTTACACTGTAACACCTATTCATATAGATTTATGAGTATATTAAAAGTTTTTTGAACATTTCAAAAATTTCAGTTTCTAATACATGTAAGTGAATATACAAATCATATTGTAAAAATCTTTATAAATAGTTACAACTACGTCAAGTCTTATAATCATAACCTTGTTTTCAATAGGACTGAAGAGGGGCTATAAAGTCACAATAGCCAGAAATGCATATGATGTATAATCTGTTTTAAAATATGTTACAATAAAGTCTTGAGTCATCTAGCCTGTGTGAAACTGTGAGAAAAATCAACTGATTTGGATTAAAGTGATTTTATATACATCAGTATTATACAGCACCCATACTATGTAGTTGACATAATACAGTTTATTGTGTTGGGTTGCAATTTGAAAAAATTGTAGACCTATAAATTCCCAGTGTTGTCTGTCTGTCTTTTCTTAATCTTTAGAAAAGAGTTAGATAGATGAAAGACGAGACCAGATATGGAAACCTTAGGGTCAGGAGGCCTCAATTAACTATATACGAACTTCTGATGAAAACTGAAGTCCTATTATTTCAATTCAAAAAGTTGCCCCGAAAGATGTTGGGTAGAGACTGGTACAGCTCTATTGTTAAAATAAAACTATGATGTACAGCCACTACTAATTTGAGGTGGAGAGCATATATTTTAAATTAAATTAAAAATATTATTAAAAATTGCAGCTTGGCATTGTGATGATGTCACAATAAATAATTGCTCATATTATACTTGTATTATACAGTATATAAAAAAGCATCCCATATTATGTAAAAAAAAATAGAATAATTGAAATTGCAATAATTTAAATTTTATTTTTGTAAATTTTTAAAATATAATTTTATATTGCATATATGTAACATAACATGTAGTGATGAAAAAAGTGAAAATATTTGCAAAATCTTTCATTTATACATAAGCAATAATTTTAAATGTACTTCTCATGAATTTAATTGCATTTATAAGGACATGCTTATTAATAAACAGATAATTTAATTTAAATGTAATTAAAATTTTAATAAATAATGTTTTTCAGAAACAAGTAGTACAACAGTTACGGAAAGAATTAGAAAAAAAGCAGCAACAGGTAGTCATTGTTTCCAGTTCGGGCCAGGTGCAGACAACTGTGCTGTCTCCAGTATTACAGTCTACCATCACCCAAAGAGCTAATCAGTCAATGACAGTTCATCCAGTAGTTTCTCAGTCAACTCCAGTTAGTATTTCCTTATTTTATATTCAGATATTTTCATTCCTTTTCTTAATTTCTGATATTTAATATTTTAATTTAATACTATTATTAAAGTAATTTTTTTCTTTCATTAAACCAATTGATCTAAATCAGCTAATAAAGTTGTAAGAAATAATTTTAAGCTTTAATTTATTTCTTGAAAATAATTAAATTATTTTTTTAAGATAATACTGCATTATTATGAATATGAGTTTGTGACTAAATATGTTTTCTTTATTAAATAAATTTCTTATAATAAGTTCTTTTTATAACAAATCTCAGTTTATTTTTTAAATATTATAAAAATCATATATGAAAAAATTAATTCAAAATGTTATGCATGAATCTTTGTATATTATAAATGTATGTAAAACATTTTTGTGTATTATTGTTGCATATGTTAATAATTTAGTGATTAGTGAACTTTTTAGATCCTGTTGATGATAATTTATTCATGATTCATACCAATCAGGGAAAGCTTGGAAAAGTTAGGAAATTTTCAGGGTGATCAGATAATATTTTAATTTCATAGGAGAAAATATACATTTTAAGAATAAATTTTCACTGATTTAATTCAAATTTAATTCAGTCAAATTATGATAGTGTTTAAAATTTAAGTTCTTCCATTTCAAATAGCAAGGCCAAAACCTAAAGATGCACTAAGGCAACATGGAGGAGATAATGATTGACTGGTACGGCATGCATAACATTTATTTGCATAAACAAAAATTTTTAGTGGAAATATAAAAAACACTGCAAATGTGAATTTTATTTATTATCATCCTTTGGAGAACCTATAAAAACTTAAAAATAAAGTCAATTTTTAGACATGTAAATTTTTGAACTTAAAAAACTTTTATAATGTTGATATCATAATGGATTTTTTCCCCTGCAATTTCATTATGATCTCTGAATGATTATTTTTAAAATAAGTTCTCATTGATCATTTTACAATGATCAGATGATATATAACTGATTTTGTTTTCTGATGTAGCAAAAACTTCAATGGGCCATAAAGCCCAAAAAGCTTTTTTGGAAAAATCCTTTATACACTTTGTTTTTGTGACAAAATACACCCTTTCGCCAAATATTATCAAAATTAAAAAAATACAACTGGTTTTGGCCTTGCTGTTGAATTTGTTTTTGTCAAGGAATTTAAATGTTGAACATGGATAAGAACATTATTGTTTTTTTAAAAGAAACAGAGCTTATATTAGCGCACACAAAAAAAAATAACTGACAAAAAACTATTTGAAGTAGCTGTTTGACATTTTTAAATCAGACATTACTTATGATTACTAATTTACTATCTGAAAAAATGGAACTAAAATTGTTAAACTGGATAAACATTTGAATAATCCATATACATGAGAACAGATTTTATTGAAAACTAGCTGTTACCCGCGACTTCGTCAGCGGAGGTTTTGCAAGCAAACCCCATTTACATCCAATATTTCAATAACCATAGTAATTGTTATATAACACCTACCGCTGAAGAGAATTGCCGAAAATCAAACGAACTATTTTCAATTTGATCAATTTTCTGAAACGTTTACAATCGTTCTATAATCGAACCAATACGCAATAACAAATTCGAATTTAAAACNTCAATATATTTATTTTGTTCGTACAAAATAAAAAAATAATTTTTAACGATACAATAGTCTTCGTTAGGCTTAACATCGACGAAAATTCGACGCGAAGCGACACGCAACGGAGAAAAATGTCAAGATGGGATAAATTAATATATTTTTTCCTACATAATTGGTTATCCGAAAAATAAGTTATCCGAACAACCCCAGTCCCCAATTGATTCGGATAAACGACGCTCTACTATATAAGAAAAAATTTTAATTAACTGTTTTCCACAGTTAAAATACTTTTTAAAAATTTCTAATAAGTTTAATTGCTTCAGCTTTTATATACTGTGCTTAGATTTGATAAAAACAATTCTAGTGATATTTGAGTCTGGTCAGCAGAGCAGATTCAAATATTGCTAACATTGTGAAATATGTGACAATTCATTCACACTTTGGGAGTTTTCAGGATGCGCATTTTGAAGAATCCCTAAAACATGCATTCTATAAATTAGTTAATGACATGATACTTTTTAAGTTTCAATTTTTTGAAATATGAGTTATACTAACTTTGAATTATAGAAATTTATATTTAAAATTTTTTAAACATTAATTTAAAAATAAATTTCAAGGGAAATAAAAATTGTTTAACCCTTGTCCGAATAAGCTGTTTTATAACACAGATGGATGATGTAAGTCCAATGGACTCAGCATGAATTTTTTGGTGTGATATACATTTTTTTTATGTTGTTATTTTGAACTACATTATTAGTACAAAATATTGTTTTTTTTATTACTCTTTTGAATCACATTATGCCAATAAATTTTATTTGAACTTATTTTTACATGTACAGCTTATAAGTCTACTGAAATGTTGACTGCATACAATCTTGTTTCATACATCAAAGTGTTGTTTTTGCATTTGAGACTTGTTTGTAGGGCACATGAAGTATATATATATTTGTTCTTTTCCACTAGAACAGCATATTGCAGCTAACTTGTGTTCTTACGGCACTATGATCTTGTATCTTGTATTTTATTATCAAATCNATTTAAAATTTTTTAAACATTAATTTAAAAATAAATTTCAAGGGAAATAAAAATTGTTTTACCCTTGTCTGAATAAGCTGTTTTATAACACAAATGGATGATGTAAGTCCAATGGTCTCAGCATTAATTTTTTGGTGTGATATACATTTTTCTTTTATGTTGTTATTTTGAACTACATTATTAGTACAAAATATTGTTTTTTTATTACTCTTTTGAATCACATTATGCCAACAAATTTTATTTGAACTTATTTTTAAATGTACAGCATATAAGTCTATTGAAATGTTGACTGCATACAATTTTGTTTCATACATCAAAATGTTGTTTTTGCATTTGAGACTTGTTTGTAGGGCACATGAAGTATATATATATTTGTTCTTTTCCACTAGAACAGCATATTGCAGCTAACTTGTGTTCTTACGGCACTATGATCTTGTATCTTGTATTTTATTATCAAATCTAAGTTATTGCAAAAGACTCTTGAATGATCAATGTCTCACAGTAGCTCTGAAAATAGGAGAATCGTAAAGAGAACTCCACAAAACTTCATAACTTCCATTATTGAGTTTCAGATGTCTTACAGTAAGAAGTCCTTAAAGGTTAGATATGTATTATATGAGATAGTTTTCATTGGTGTCTCAGATAGTGGTTACTGTATACTATATAGTTTCCTGGTTTGTCAATTGAATGATTTGTAGAAGTATATCAGAAGTTACAAATAATTGAAAACTGTCAAGTATATCAACAACTTTTTTTCATGGTGAAGAATGACTAGCAGGTATGTGTAAAACACTTTTCATAATAAAATGTAACTGAGATTTCTTTTGCCAAGTTGAAATGGAAAACTATGTACTTAAATCTTCTTCATCCTTTTCAAATTTAAGAGAGATTATATCTGAAATGTCTGATAACTTTGATTCATGTCAGACTCCTCACAATTTTTCTCCTCAGTATTTTCAAATACAATTAGTTCACCATCACAGAGATTATGTATAATTTCATAAAATCATAAATTAACAATTGAGGTAGATGTTATACCAAATAAAATACATTACAAGTTCATAATATTTTAGGTCAGATTTCAGATTCAGATTTTTATTAAAACGTACAAAGTACATAGCTCGATGCTGTAAAGCACAATCAGGCCAGCAATACAAGTACAGATAATATTAAATACATTTGATATAATTACAACAGGATTAGATAATGCAATTGAATATATTGTGCATATTCAAAACAGACATGAAGTCTGGTTAGGAGCCATCAAGAAGAAACAATGCAACTGAAGAGGTGAACACCTCACACAGAATGCTGAATGTTAATATGTTATAATTAGTAAAGCAACAAATATTTTAGGTCAATGTACATAAAATGTGTTGTTATTCTAGAACAGAGGGGCCACCAAACTTTTTTACAGCAGGCCAGATAACTGAGAGAATGACGAGTGCTGGTTGCATAACCATTATGTTTAATACAGCATACCGAATACACAAAAAATAAAGTTAATCAATATATTTATTTACCAATACACAAACATGATTGCTTCAGCAAGCTTGTAATTGCTTTTCTTAGAAACTTCATTGCAGGTACTTAAACAATAAAAGCACTCTGATATCCAAAATTGCAAAAAGTTGCTGAAGTTTTTATTTCACTGATTTTCCTAAATACGGTGGTACCTCAGGATACGAAATTAATCCGTTTTGAAACTGAGATCGTATCATGAAGATGTCATAAGGTGAAACATTTTTCCCCATATGTACATGTACATGTAAAACCAAATAATTCTGGAATGAATTATTTGGTTTTACATGTACATGTATGTATGGGGAAAAATGTTTCACCTTATGACATTTTCATGATGGAATACACGAAAAATGTTTCACCTTATGACATTTTCGTGTTGGAATACACGAAAAACACACTCAAATTAAAGCTAAGTAGTACTGTACATTAAAAAAAAAACTTTAGTAAGGAAAACACTGAAAAATGCATTTTGTAGTTGTAAATGTATAAATAACCATAATAGAATAATAATTGATAAAAAAAATGTAGTTTTATTTGCACTTTACCTTNTATAAGACGGCAAAAAGCTTAATTTTTAGAGCAGAGATGAGTCTCATAAAAATTGTAAATACTATTGATGAATAAATTCTTCATTAATTCTGCATTGAGATATGATACACAATCCCCTCAATTTTCCCAACTCCTTGACCTTTAACTACCAAAATTTAATAGCATCAATGCCCCTAATACACAAATCCCCCTACAAAATTTCAGAAATTTTCAACTAGAGGAACAGGAGTTAAGCTTCAAAATGGGTGAACAAATTGTCTCCTCACGCACAAACATGCATATTCA